TGCAGGTCCCATCAAGGCTTCTACCGTCAGTGTCAGGTGCAGGTCCCGTCAAGGCTTCTACCGTCAGTGTCAGGTGCAGGTCCCATCAAGGCTTCTATCGCCAATGTCTTTCTGTTCCTTCAAATATAAATCCAGGCTCCTTTACATTCCTACAGGGATCTGACAGGGCTGTTTTTTTCTTCTCTCCCTAGCCCCCCGCACACACTCCCTAACTCCTTCTCTATTACCTGCCATGTTCCTCGAACCAATTCCAGTGCCTCCAAGCCTCTGCGGTTCCATGTTTCTGGCCACATGTTTTTATTCTTCCACGTGCTTGAGTACCAAGTGCTCAAGTATCAACTTGAAGTTGCCTTTGGACACTTTCTTCTGGCCTTTCGGTTCAGTTAGTCATGCCTTCTGGGTGTTCCCATATCACCATGCTCTCCTTTCCCACGAACCCTACACCGGGCCCTTCACCCTGAATGACAGCGGTAACAACACCCAACACAGACCCTGCTGTCCACCAGGCAGCCCCCTTCCAAATGCTTCATCCCAATGACCTCATTCAATCTCTGAACCAGCACTCGGAGGTCAGAAAAACAGAAACAAAAGCAAAGTGGTTGCCATTGAGCTGATGAGGATTTACGGCGGCCCTGTGCATGTCGGTGTAGAGCTGCTGCCGGGGCTTTCCTGAGGGTGATAGGTCAGAAAGAAAGAGCAGCACTCTTTCAGGGTGCCTCTGTGAACCTTCTGGGTGGTAGCTGGACAGTCCACGGTTTGCCCTACCAGTGACTGCTCTCTGAGATAGTACTGTCTTCATTCCTGTGTTGTAGAAGAGGAAGTGGAGGCACAGGAAGTTGGCATAACGGTGCCATGTTTACACAGCGAAACATTGAGGGAGCCAAATGGTCACTGGAGTCTGTTTCCGAACATTTGGCCATTATCCATCTCCAGAAACGAGCTACTTGTTTCTCTGTGTTTCCCACCAGATTGTAAGTGTGCTGAGGGCAGGGGTCATCTATTATCTGTTGCTATATCTCTAGGATCTTTGCAAGTGCATAGTGAGTGCTCACTAAATATTTGTTGTTCAGACGAAAGAATTAAAAGGGCGTGGCAGTGCTGTTTACCTAAGCTGCACGGTTGTGTTTCATTTAGAGATTTAGTGTAGATGGCAAGCTCATAGGGACCCTCTCAGACAGAGCAGAGCGGTCCCCGTGGGATGCCAATACTGTAACGCTTTATGGGAGTAGAAATCCTCGTGTTTCTCCTGCACAGTGGCTGGTGTTTTCAAACTGCTGACCGGATGGTTAGAAGCTAGAGCCGAGGGCAGTGAGTTTGGTTTTTGAAGTGAGGGATGAAGCACGTGAGCACTGACGTTGTCAACATCTGGTTCCTAGTCCTGCCCTTGCTGACGGTGTGATTGCAGGGACAGTGAATTATTGACTGCGGCTCTCCCAGCCAAAGTCTCTAAACTCTCCCCAACCTTGCCTTGCATGGATCTGGTAAGAAGGTGGAGGAAGATCTTTGATAGGATTCACCTGTGAGTAATTGAGAACAGGATTCCCGGTAGTGTCACCCAGTTGCATACAGCCTCGTATAATGAGCCCTCTGAGAAGCAGGAGCAGAGAATCTCATTAGCAAGAGCTAGGCGTGGAGTGCGTCTTCTGGACCCAAGATCCCTGCACAGTGAACCTCCTGGGTCCAGATGATAGCTACGACCCAGAGGAGCAGCAGCAAGACCAGGAGTCAGAGCGTGGAACTGAGGGATGGACGTCCCAAACCACGGAGCAATGAAGCTGAGTGCTTTTGTGCAGGAGGCTGGCTTGCAGAGTAGGATGTCTCAGCTCCTCCCAATTAAGTGGGGGAGTTGGACTTGCTGACTCCCTAAAGCAGAGCCGGTGCCCTCGAGCTGAGGCTGACTGGGGTGGGGTGCCTCTGGATTTGCTGACCCCTGGAGCTTCAGCGGAATGCCTTTGGATTGAGGTTTATAGCTAAGTGGTGTGCCTTTTGGAAATTTATTAGCAGACTTGACAGACCTTTGTAACCTGATAAACAACTCAACCCTGAGCATTTCTCCCTGGATCTAAAACTTGTTAACTCCCTTAATAAACAAACCCTTTCATCGTGTTTTTTTCTGTGAGATCTGGGTAGCCGCGGTAAAACAGAGACTATTAATTAAGACAACCCGGGGATATTGGGCTGGTTTCCTGATCTCAGGGTTCTCATCATTAGAACAAGATGAAATCGTACCGGCCGCATAAATAATAAAATGAGGTCATTAAATGTCACGGTGACACAGAGAAAGCATTCCGTGAACATGCCCACTGAAAGTAACAGTGCGATGCAACTCCGTTTTGGGATTCAGAACATGGGGAAAAAGAGGGATTATCACTAGCCACAAATGGAAATTGTTTAAAAATATTTGCACAGTTGATAAAATTATAAAGCTAGTCAAAGTCCAATGTGTCAAAGTCCTCAGAGCCCCTGGGGGGTGTGAGCGTCTGTGAACCATGCTGGAAGCACCAGGGGGCACTGTCCTAAAACACCAGGGAATTAAACCTGAAGGATAAAACCCAAACCAAACTCACTGCTGCCAAGGCGCTCCGACTGCTTGCGATCCTACAGGACAGGGTAGGACTGCCCTGGTGGGTTTCCAAGACTACACTTTACAGGGTAGAAAGTCTCCTCTTTCTAACCGCCTCCCCAGAGCAGCTGGTGGTTTTGAACTGCTGACTGTGGTTAGCAGCTCAGTGCATAGACCACTGTAGACTGTAGCACCCGGTCTCCTAAAGGATCATGCAGTCTATTTGGGCTCCAGCCACACATTCAATATTCCACCTGTGTTGTCCAGCCCACCAGCTTCCTCCCACTGTGCCAGCCACACATGCCATGCTGTAGGTATGGCCAAAGCGCAAACACCTTGATTAAATGCAGTTTGAAAAATTACACTAGAGTTTAAGAAGAGGTAGCAAATGTGTTCAACTGAGTAGCGAGTGGTGTTTGTTCCCTCCCCCCTTTTCTCTTAGTTTAATAACTGTGCCAAAGAAGAGCGACGTGCTGACTACCTTTAAACGAGCCACCAAAAGTCTACCCCTCAAACCAAACTGAAGGCCGTTTTCATCCACTTCCAAAGGCAAGTCAACTTGAATGGCACTCCATCACCAAAGGCTCTCAGCCCTGGTCATCTCCCTGCTGTCTTTTTGCAGCAACCATTTCAATAACAACATCTAGCCCAGACACCCTGGCTGCAACTGCCAGGGAACAGCCAGTGTGCTGTGAAGGGCAAGTTCACAAAAGCCTGTAAGTTAAAAATTACTTAAACGATGGAATCATCTGCTTCCTCTCCCATACTTGAGAATTGGTCCATCTTCCGATAAGTAGCGCTGGACTTGAAGCTTTTGGCCTAGGAGGCAACCCCTCAGAAATTCCTTCCATCCGTCCCAGACGTCCAAGCGAAGCGTCCCGCCTGCGGATTGAGAGGGGGTCCAGTCCATCACTGCAATTTGGTAACTGTCAAGCCTCTGCAAACAGCACCCCACCCCCACCCTCCAGAGGAGTGCCGGAGATGCAAAAGGAACAGCTAGCCTCAGAATGAGTCGATGGGAAGGGGTTTTTACTTTGGCCATTGATTGTCTTGAAAAAATAAAGACATTTTAACTTCAAAGCACTTTCCCTTTCCAGATGTGTGAGATGAAGACACAACATGCTGAAATACTTGTGCGGCTACTTCAAAAACAATCCTGTGGAAATGGACTCGGTGCTGATAGGTAAATGAGTGTGTCGTGTTTTAAAGGAAAGCTGTTGTGTTGGAGAGAAAACTGAGTTGTTGTTTTTTCCCCCCAACAGTTTTATTGGCAAGGAAATGACATATCACCTAAATCGATAGTTTAATCATATCACAGAGAATTATACAATCATTCCCACATCAATTTTAGAGCATCCCCCCTCCACACCATGGTTAAATCTCCTTTAAGATGGTTTATGCAATCACAATCCATTCTACTACTCCCTCCCCCATCCCATCTTTATTAGTTACTCATGAAATCCCTTTTCCCTCCCTCCCTTCCTCCCAACACCCCCCCTACCATTCCCTATATCCCCTTGTATCTGTTATTATCATCATGCACCCACTCCTGCTGTGTTCCCAGCTGGGAGATCCAACAGAAAACAATAAAAACAACATGGTGCTAAGGTGGTAAGGGTAAAAACATAATAGCATACAGACAAAAATATTAATAATATATAAGAAGGAAAAGACCCCAACAATATTCAAAAAGCACCTCATCAGACTCAATCGGAAAACATACATTGGCAGACAGGCCTAGAACTACTTATAGCACGCACACACCCTTTCTTCTTCTTTTTCTTCATGTCTATCTGTATGATAGGCAGGATTGTGTACAAGCCAGAGGAATAAACAACAGGACCAACGGTCCGGGTGGACAGGGGAGAGGGGGAGGTGGGGAAAGGGAGAGAGGAAGCAAAAAAATCCAGGGACAAGGGAACAACAAGGGACCTAAAACTGATGGCGGGGAGGATGCAGAACTCCTGGTGGGGTCTGGTCAAGTGCAGTGTAGCTGAGAGGAAGTACAGAGAGCCAAATGAAGGTCAAAGATGATAATGGAAGGAGAAAAGTTAAAGGAAATAGAGGGAAGATCTAGGAGGCAAAAGATATTTATATGGGTATACATTTAGGCATGTATATATGTAAATTATATGTGTATTAACATAATGATAGGGCTATAGATCTATGTACATATATGTACATGTTAAGTATCAAGGTAGCAGACGGACATTGGGCTTCTACTCAAGTCCTCCTTCAATGCAAGATCCCTTTGTTCTACTAACCTGGCATTCTGTGATGCTCACCTTCCTGACATGATCGCTGAAGACAAAATGGGTACATAAGCTAATGTGGTGAAGAAAGTTGATGGTGGCTGGCTATTAGATGATATATCATCCGGAGTCTTAAAGGGTTGAAGGTAAACAAGTGGCCATCTAACAGGGAATCAACAAAGTCCACATGGAAGAAACACACCAGCCTGTGTGATCCCAAGATGTTGATGGGATCAAGCATCAGAAAACCCAAAACAAACAATCATATTAATGCGAATGAGGGGCAGTGGAGGGGAGACCCAAAGCCCATCATAGACAATTGGACATCCCCTCACAGAAGGGTCACAAGGAAGGGACAAGCCAGTCTTGGTGTAGTGTAGCACTGACAAAACACACAACATTCCTCTAATTCTTTAATGCTTCCTCCCCACCACTATCAATTTCTACCTTACAAATCCTGCTAGACTGGAGCATGTACACTGGTACAGATAAGAGCTCTCGACACATGGAACCCAGATCAGATAACTCTCTCAAGAACAGTAATGGGAGTAGCAATACTATGAGGGTAGAGAGAAGGTATGGGGAGAAGGGAGAGAAAGGGGGAACTGATCACAATGATCGACATATAACTCCCTACCCCTGAGGAGACAAACTACAGAAGCATGGGTGAAGGGAGATAGCAGACGGTGTAAGATATGAAAACAATAATTTGTAATTTATCAAGGTTCACAAAGGTGGGAGCATAGGTGAGGGAGGGAAAAAAGAGGAGCTGATACCAAGGGCTCAAGGAAAAAATATGTTTTGAAAATGATGGCAATCAAGTTCAAATGTGCTTGATACAATTGATGTATGGATTGTTATAAGAGCTGTAAGAGCCCCCAATAAAATGGTTTCTTTCCAAAAAAATACAGAGAAGAAATTTCTGTCATGGAACCAGTAAGAAACACTTGCACCCAAGTATTCAAGTTGTATCTATAAGATAGTCAATGGATTACAATGCTCTCTGCCTGGCCGTGAGGCTGATGGAGCCTCTTGCCTGTGGCTAGAGGGGATCTGCCACTGGCTCAGTCTGACCAGACACTCTGCGGATGAGTTTGGGCTCTCACTGTCCCATAGAGCCCTCTACAAAGAGGTGTTCATAAGTTTTGCTTTGATGCTAGAAAACTGAGTAGTGTAGCAGGACAAATGGCCTTCTGGGGCTTTTTGGTTGTCAGTGGGCTCTCGGGGAAGTTACGTGATGCTCCCTTGCTGCCCTCTGGTCCTGTGCTTTGGGTGTAGCAGCCCTCTGTATGGCAAAGACAGGGTATTTCAGTGATGCTGATGAATTCATCACATGCTCCTGGAAGCCTGTTCCTGGCATCCCTGACATCATAATCCCTTTGTCTTTCACATGGGTGTTTCCAGGCAACTCCCAGGTCTCCTGCTCTTCTCCCTCCACACATTCCTCCTGGCAAAAAGGAACCGGAGCGGTCCCACAAGGCTGCCCAGGCCCTCTTCTTCTACCTTCCGTGCCTCCCCTGACTCTTCCACCTGCCTTTCCTACATAGCAAGAAAAGACCACACCCACCTGAGAACCTAAGGATTTAACATGTCTTCTACTTAAAAGCATTTTCCTCCAGCTTGCCACCGGCTGTGTCTTTCTCAGGGCATGTGCACCCATGCTGGAATTCTCTCCTTCCTAGTAGGATTCCTGTACGACTGACTCCCGGTCCGTGCACCTGAAGGGCAGCCACCAACCATGTGGGAGTGGAGGCTTCTGTGTTGCTATGATACGGAACAGAGCTTCCCAACTAAGAGAAACTAGAAAGCCAGGCCTGGTCAACTGCCTTAGACATCAGCCATGAAAAACCTCTGGGCCCCAACAATCCGTTCCCATTCTGCATGGGGCCGACTCAAATGCAGCAGACCACAAAAACAGCCTGTGTTTGTCATTGCACAGCTCACAGGATGCATGCTGTGTGCACCCAGCTCGCAGCATATTTGCTGTGTGCATGCAGAGGGCCATCGCCTGTGCACTGGAGCTAAAGCAACCCAGCCATGATTCCCTTTATACTTTTTATCTTAAACCAGCAGTTCTCAACCTGTGGATCGTGACCGTTTGAGGGTTGAATGACCCTTTCACAGGGGTCACCCAGTTCATACCAGTAGCAAAATGACAGTGATGAAGTAGCAATGAAAATAATTTTATGGTTGGGGGAGAGGGGATGTTCACCACAGCATGAGGAACTGTATGAAACGGTCACAGCATGAGGAAGATTGAGAACCACTGTCCTAAACCTTCATTGTAACTTCCTCATAGCCCCTGTCACCAATACTGGAAAAATCCTGGTAGCCAAGTCAGTTATTCATTGGGCCACTAATGGCCAGGTCAACAGTTTGAACCCACCAGCCACTCCCAGTGCGGAAGATGAGGCTTTACACTCCCAGAATACTCTACAGTCTCAGAAACCCACCAGGGCAGTTCTACTCTGTCTTGTGGGGCAGCTGTAAGTCAGAACTGACTTGATGGCAGTCAGTTTGGAGTTAGGCTCATCATCAATACCTATCATCAATCAACTTGTATAGAAGTTTGTCTGAAATTCTTTCCCTGAAAAGGAACTTCCTTTGGGACTTGACAGACAGTCTGGCACTTGGTAGAGCTCAATACTTACTCAATTCATGTTCTTGTTGCTGGGTGCTGTCATCTGTTCTGGTTATCACAGCAGCCCCCTGTACATCTTAAAACCCTGCCGTAGCCTGTGCTGTGTTAGCACAGGTTGACTAGAGAAACAAAATCAGGGACACTCACATATGCATGAGGAAGAGCTTTATACCAAAGAGCAATTGTATATCAAGACAGCATTCCAGCCCAGTCCAGATTGTCCGATAGTAGTCTGATATTAGCCCATAAATTCCTCTTCAGACTCACGCAACCACGTGCAATGATGCCGAATGCAAGAAGATCACAGGCCGGTGGGTGAGAAGTCTTGTGGATCCAATGGCGGTGGAAGCATCTCAGCTCTGGTGCAGGTTTCCATGTGGCTCCTCTGGCTCTGTGATTGTGGCTCTTCAATAGGAAGGTGAAGCAGAGAGAGATCTCTTGTGTGGCTTGTCGAAAGGAAGACAAAGGCAGAGAGAGGAAGAGAGAGGAAGTTCCCAGAATCCTTATATGAAGGTCACGCCCACAAGGAGGCATCATCAGGCTGTGACCTGATTGAGCGTCTAGACTCCACCCTTTTATTCTTAATGCCCTCAAGTGGACACGAGATTATGTAAGCACCACATGTGCCATCCTCTAACTTGTTATGTGTGAGTGCACTGATGCAGCTACTGTGTCAATCCATCTTGTGGAAGGTCTTCCTATTTTTTGCTGCCCCACTATATTACCAAGCATGATGTCCTTGTTCAGAGACTGGTTTCTCCCGATACCATGTCCGAAATACGTAGGACAAATTCTCATCCTCCTTGCCTCTAAGGAGCATCCTGGCTGTACTTCTTACAAGACAGATTTGGGGTTTGGGTTTCTTTTTTGGAAGTCCATGGTATTTTCCCACAACCATAAATCAAATACATCAAAATCTTTCTTACTTATTCAATGTCCAACTCTCATATGCATATGAGGCCATTGAAAATACCATGGCTTGAGTCAGG